ACTTACAAGACTTTTCTTGATAACAACTCCATTACATCCTGTATTGCGAAGTACTGTTACAATACGGTCACCAAACTTACCTTTAGCTACAGGCATTTTAATTGGTTTCTTTTCACACTCTGCAAGTATCATAGGACTACTCACCTGCGTAGTGATAATACTATCAGTAAGAGTAATAACCTTACCGCAAATTGGTGTTTCCTTTCCCCGTGAACCGCTATTCTGTACATTACCAACCTTGTTCTGTAATAATGGACAGTTCGATATCAAGTGATCTGATTTATTGCACTTAAAGCACTTTCTATCAAATCTTTTTCCACCATTACCTCCTGTGTGTATATCTCTATCTCTATTGCTTACTTTTGACCTTTCTTGGTTCCGTAAATTGTTAGGTTTTTGAGGCGGCTGTGATTTACCTTTTTAATTCTGATTTGTAAGTGATACTGTATTTACTCGCCTTGCCTCCTTTAATTGATCAGCATACAGAGTCATCTCATCTATGGACTTCGGAACTCTCTCTTTCAAAAACATCCTTACCTCGTTATTACATATGCGTAAAAACTGATTTCTTAACATAAGATCATAAAGTCCATCAAACGTCTTTAAAACATTAGACATATCAATTCATCTGCTCAAATAACTTCCCAAACGAACAGAAAACTGTTGAAACGTTTCACCAAACTCTGGACGACAAGATCTAAACTTCTGCTTAAAACCATCTTCAGTCATGTTATATCTCTTCAATAAACATGTCTTAAGAGAATCATAATCTAGCGCTTGATCTGATGGAAGCAAAGCATACACGTTTAATGCATTACCTTTCAGAAGTGCACTCAAATGAGTGGCCCATATTGTCCCATTTTTGCGATATAGCATACCTTTCATAACGACGCATATATGCATCCATATCATCAGTACCTACCTCAAAAGGAGGTAATGTAGGTACCTTTCAGGGGTTAAGACTACCTCGTTCCTTTTCTTCCCTTTGTTTTTCAGTTTCCAATATACGAGTATTATCTAGCTTTTTAATTTCCAACTCATGCTCTTATCTTACCTTTTCAATTTCCCATTCTTCCTTCTCTCTTTCTCTTTCAATACGTCTATAATCGCGTTGTCTCGCCTGCTGTGACTCAATGAGCCTAATGAAATCCTCATTGGCTAACCCAAACGACTCACCATACTCTCGTAACTCTTTAAGACTCTCCATGTTTGATACCTGTTAATGTGACTTGCTATTGAAACAATAAACTAGACCAAGGACAATGCTCAATATACCAGATAATCATTTCACGTAACACTACGCTTAAGTATCACAGTCAACCATATCATGGTTCACAAGTGTCAATCACAACACCAAAATAAATAATACCTTAGTCTAAAGTTACTCTAAATAACGACAACCACTGAACATCAGATTCCTGACTTTTGCAGGAATAAACTGTTAGATTGAAAATGGTCACAGACGGACGGATGGAGAAGTCTTTCAGTGCTCTTTTACAGTTATAATCAAAGAATCAACTATAAGAATAAATAAATTACTTAATAAACAAAGAAAAACTATTAGAAAAAAAAGCAACAAATTATTATAAATGTTTTAAAGTCCAAATACATGTCCAAATAACTGCTGGTATTTCGTCTATTCAGATTACTTTCCTTAATATCATAGATGCCAGCCTAAATTTATCGTGCACGACAGTTTCACACTATAGTTGTACGTAGATATGTTGTTGTATGGCGTTCATGGTGTTCATGTTGTTAACACTGTAGGACCACTCCCTAACACCACAGCATTGTAATACTCAGGTGCAGTTTAGAACCTAATAATAATATAATTGTACAAATTCTTCATAACGATTACCAATTTAGATATGCATTTTACTTGCACGTTCATGTAACATAAAAATGAACTCTATATCTCACGTTCATATAATGAACACATGTATTCTATTAATTTACGAAAATAAATACGCGCATACATTTTATATGTAGCAAATGTGTCATACATTAGTAAATATCATATTTTGCATGATAGTTTCACGTACATCAGGAAATTCGGTACCTTGTACACATAAATATCACGTACATTCAATTTGTACCCGTAATAAACAAGCTTGTTCTTATTCACTGGTAAAAACGCAAATATTTGAATATAAAACAATGTTTTCATATCTTTAAATCTGTTTACAAAGCATTCTAAATTATACAATTTATATGATGGAAATTTGTCTGCAGAAGTCTGAAAGTTTCAGAAATTTGATAAAAAGCATCAGAAAAGGTATAAATAAATGTTAGAATAAAACACTTACCTCAGAATTGATGCACTATGTACAAAAATACAGTAGAACCATTGTAGGTTAAATTTAAATATCAAAATGTAAAATGATCTGACGGGTGTGGTATCCTTCCATACCAACATCTCAAGCAGAAATAAATCTACCTGAATAGGAGTGTAAACCTGTCCAAAGAACTCGAATTACCACTATTTGAAACTAGCCATACCTGTCCGAAGAACTCGACTGACCACTTTTTAAAAAAAAGCCAACAGGTAAGTAATACAGCCATGCCTAATCAGTTTGCGTTTTAACACAGGTGAACCAAACTTAGGCCAAACGTGAATATATATATAAAAGTGTATGGTAAAACTATGTATAAACAAACTATGAAAAAACGTCTCGCGCAAAGACCGCAAGTGCAATTCTTTGTTCTTGATGATAATTTCAAAAATCATATATTTATATACATGTCTGACTGAAAAAATATCTGTTTAAATCTATAAAATTCATCTGGATCGTGACAGATTGAAGCGGAATGATATTCTACATTTTACATTGTTGACTTTTAATCTCTAACACTAGCACAATGTCTTCCATAACTATCACATTCTGCAGTTAATTTCGATACCACTCAGCTACGGCCACACAGTTGTTGCAGATTAACTGTATAATAATCTCACAAATGCTAGACGCTTACTTAACAAAAATTAGTCGGTTTTTTTTTGTTTGTTGTTTGCCATGATATTGACAGTCTACTGATAAGTGTTCAGGTTTCCTGTTTGAGTTGTAAATATTTGTTTAAATCTTTTGTAAATATTCGTAATTATCAAGTGGTTGATGTTAATAAATAAATAAACAAACAAAGAAGAGCAAACATCTAGCAACCACATTATACATTATAACACTGAGTTATAAACAAAAAGTAGTGAAGATGTGTTTTTATTTCTTCCCTGAGATAGAACTTGATATGTCATCGATAAAAATATTTAAAAAAAAACATTGTTTTAGAAAAAAATATATAATTAGCAGATGTCTTATGATTGTCAATGAGAAAACACTATCCACAGAATCCTTATGACCACGATGTTAGCAACTTTAAGTCATCGTAAGGTTGTGAACAATGAACTTATTGCCTACCGCATTTTAAACTTTAGAAAGACAAAACGTGACAAAATTCAAATATTTCAAACGAAAACATTTAGAAACAAAACAACAAGTTCTTGTTAATTGTTGGTTTGATATGTACCAATCTGACGAGTGAAGCCCTTATCAACATATAATGCTATTATTTTCATATGTTGTGCTGTAACATTACTGTCCCAGGTTAGAGGGAGGGTTTGATTAATAGAAAATTTGAAAAATATAATGGCCTGAGAACACAGTTATTTCGTAGTGCATTTCTTTTAGACAATAATTTCAAATTAAAAAAAAAATCGCACCTGCTCTATTTCAAAAAGATTTTTACAGTGTAGTGTACTGCTATTGGGATAAATAATATCAAAATTATAGAAAATTCTACCAGCTCTTACTCTAAAATATGCACAATGCTATGTTGAGAGGGTCTAAAATTCAGTTTGACAGCTTCACACATACTAATTTTTTTACTTTTTTCACTGGATCGAATCACTTATTATCATAAAGATTAAGAACCAGTTTTTTTTAGCATGTAATGTAATCCCCTAACTTAACATTTCATGCATAAAATATCAAGAAATAATTGGAAAAATGAAAGAAAAAAATGCAAGTTATACACTGTTCACGGTAGGGACTATATTTGTAGAGAACGAAAACCAAAAGAACCAGTTGCTACCTTCACATACATCTTGGAGTTAGGATATTTTGTCCACGTCCACTTAACCCGTTATACACTGCAGTATAATATGATATCGAAACACGATAGATGGTATAACATGTGAATGTTATTCGGGATACTTAGTTTTCGATTTTAGGAATATGAAATAGACACACTAGTTGATATAACTTACGTAGCAATTACGAAATATTTCTGCGTCATCATAAAATGATGTGCTTAACATCGTCTGACCAACTGACAAATGCACTACAAAAATATATACCAATAGGACAATCTTAATGATTAGAGAATCTTTTCAACCTTCTGTTCGGATAAAATACAATAGAATAACATTTGAATTAATTTCACCTCTTTTATGTTGTAGTTAAATTGATTATTCATGACCGAGGCAATCACGATCACGTTACGGGAATACTTCCATAGTGAATTGACGTATGTTGATGCAATCGAAAAACTAAATTTTGTTTAATAAACAAATTTAAATTTTATTCGAACATCTCGGTTATGATTTCACAGAAATAAACAGATCAGACTTTTAAACAAGCACCTTGAGTTGGAGCAATAATTTGAATAGGGAACAATTACACAAATTCGAAGTTAACGCAAGCTTGAAATCAATACTAGTTTATGTGCGCAAAGAGGCTTAAGTGCAAATTGCTATCTTCTATTACATCGAGAAATTGCAATTTTGGTACAAGATCGTTGCATTATGCTAAACAAAAGACAGTGTTTTTTTATTTTTCTTTATCAATGTATGTTGTAGCATGATACCGAAATATACTAAGTTAACAGTGCTTCTGAAAAACAGAGCGTGTTGTCCCCTTATGCATTCTCACTTCTTTCGAAAAGGGGATATATATACATATACGTACATGTTCAAATATTTAAATACGCAATATAACCATACCAGTACAAATAGTGAATATTTATTCAATTTGAATAGATACAAGAACTCAAAGAATGATGCATAGGGTGTTGTGTCATCAAAAACAATCTTTGATATAAACAAGTCTATTGTGCTAAAAAATTCATATTGAAGATAATAGAATTGCCAAAATGCCCAGAAGCAGTTCTTCTGTTTCCTGACAGTTCTGCAAAATAATGCTCTGTGTGACCTCCATGGAACTGCTTAATGAATTGCATTATTCTGTTATCAACATACCAGGTGCCATGTATACTGAAAGGTGTGTTATTATCAACTCCATAACCTTCAATGACTCTTTTTCCATTGATGTCTTCATAACAAACCAATCTGGTATGAAAGACTAAATCATTTTCACCGTACCTAACGAACCAAACTCCAGACGGTGGAATTGGTAACTAAAAAAAAGACGAAGTAATCGTTAACAAATAATATTTAAAGTTGCAAATATTTAATTGTCGTAAATTAACGATACAGTTTTGTTAATATTCTCACTAAGCTTTTATCCCGTTGTTTTCATCATAATAAGTTATCGTTGTCGTTGATTTTTTTGTCCCTTTTTAGTCAATTAGGGGTTTTGTATTACTTTCATCACGGTACCAGATTTGTTAAATATGTTGAAACTATACGCTGCTCTTTTCAACTCCTCCTCTTTGGTCTCTCCTTGATAGTTTATTTATTGGCAATCATGCACATGTCATGTACCTTTCATATAATGATACATGTATGACATCAACTCAGAGCACAAACGTGTGTAAATGCATCTTGTATCCATCAAAGTTGTCTCAACGACTTACTCTGAACACATTCAGATATATATAAAGTAATAAATCACACATATGGCTAAAACATTTTTCAAGTTGAGTTTATTGTGTTCATGTTCAAAATTTAGGTAAATAATGCCTAAACACAAATGATATCATGATATCCCTGAAAAGAAAAACACAATCAAGTACAAAAAACACGAATTTAAAACACCAAGAACAGGTGTGGCTCTAGAAATAATTAAACCTACAAACATTACGATATTATGAAAATTTTCTTTTCGAAAAACACCACAACATATTTCTTATATATTCAAATACTCACTTCCATTTGGACAAACTAAATCAGAGAGGTGAAACATCACGTAGGGAATTTCAAACTCAATAGTCAAAAACATACGTAGAGAACTAGCGAAAAACTTAAACAAAACGAAAGACAAACAACACGAGAATCTATACAGAAATTTACGACAGTAGAGCCAATTGTTCGCTTTCGGTTGTTACTTTTCTTTTGCGAACAGTGACCAATTCATATGGGGGTTGTCACAACTTGTTTGCTTTGTCCGTGTCGAGATTTTAATAAACGTAGTGTATGTATAACTCATAAATTTGTGAGTCAGGGGGTTGGATTTCACAAGTCAACTAAAACCTTTACCATGTTTACCAAATTCTTGCAAAGGTACACATATTTTATGTATTTGGTTATCAACTTTGGCTGTTCTGGGAGAGTAATTGTTTACGGTGTTGTTGTTATAAATCCCGTAAATGTAGATATGAAAGCTAAAACTCATTTAAATTTTGTACTTCACTTTAGAATGTCACACTGCACTTGTTTGCCTATTATTTAATAACTATTGTACTAGTATTTGTATTTATATTGTATGTCTCTTTGTAAACTTGTATTTTGATTTTAGAAAATAAATTATTTATCTATTTATGAAACAAACTTATTCTGTAAATTTAAAACAGTGATGCAATTTAAATAATCTGAATGTTTTTATTTGTACTAACGTTGATTTTGTTTATAAAGATATAAAGCTTAACTATATATATATATTGTTAAATTATACTTTTTTCACTTTTTTTAGTCTTTTGGAAATTGTTGTTTGTGCTGTATTTAGACCCCTCTACCAAGAAATTTGTTTTGCATGCACACGTATAAAAATTGCGGTTCTTATCCAACGCAATCATAGGTTTGAACGTTGTTTTCAATTTAGACTTGTATAGATATATATATATTGCTATATATTTGGACGAACTATATATTGCTTTATATATACAGTTATGAGAACTCACATCCTGATGGCACTGTTTATTTATATTTAGGCATTATATTTAGGTAGTTGGTTTCTGAGACTGTTTATGATGTCTTCACACTAAATCAGTTGTATATGCACTGATTGATACAATAGTCTAGGAGAACACGATTTATTAAATTTGTAATCGACTTTAAACTAGCGTTAAGTAACTTCTTCGGTACATTATATTTTTCTATGTTAGTTGTGATTGTGCCTCCTACTGATCTTTTGAGTAAAGCTAATTGCATTTTTTATAGTTTGTTCTTATGGTGTTACGTAACTAACCCCACCACATACTTTAAGTGCCAAGTCAGAAGCACGTAGATCACTGGTTGTTGTTGGTTCCTGTTTGCCATTCCTGTTTTCCGTAAATTATTTTGTCATTTATTAGACCGTTAGTTTTCTCGTTTGAATTGTTTCACATGTTTCATGTCGGGACTTTTTAAAGTCAACTATGTCGGCAATTTTACTCATTATTGACATTCGTATGATTGCCTATAGATGCTTACTTCCATCCCTCCTTTGTTCTCTAATATCCAATAGACAGTGGTTTCAGGCGGATTTGCCACAACGTCACGTTTTGCAGAGTCACCTGTGTACCAACTTTTCCACTGTATTGTCTTTCTGAAACTTTCACAACAGGAAGAGCTAGAAAAAACAAGTTTCTTATGTATATGGCTTAAATGAATGACAACCCAAAGCAGTACTTTTGAGAATGGATCTCACCCTATTACCACGGGCTAATAAACTGACCTAAAATGTTAGAATTTCTAATAGCTATGGTTCTTAAAATTATTTATCATGCTAATTTGACCTAATTATACACTAAAATCCAAACTTTTTCTCTGAAAATTAATCATAACACTTATTATCAGTAACAGTGTTTTGACCCATGCTACCAATGTCGACATTTTTTTATAACAAGAGAATTATTATATCTAGTACAATTGATCTAATACCAATGATAAGAACCTAGAATAAAAAAAAATCTTGTAAGTTGCAATAGATATCACAACACGTATTTTCTTGGCCTCGAGATGTTGCAAATCAATATATCACTTTACACAACTATTGATATCAGTAGATTAAACGTAACGATATACATATATATACACAAATTTTATGTTGAAAAAATTCCAAACACTAATTAAAGTGATAAGCATCACACCTACTTAATGTCATTATAATTCTCCAGTAGTATCTTGAATGAAAACAAAATTAAAAGGTACTAAAATATTTTCTTTTACTGTTTAGTCTGTTTTTTATGATATTCATTTGACGTGGCTCGGTACTTGTACATCCCGTCATTGTGTTATTGTTCTATGATAATTCCCGTATTCTTGTCTTTCATTTTTGCTAATGTGCTTTGTATATATGCCTTTTTATGTTTCTTTGATACATATATGAAGTGGCTCTGTACTTATACATCCCGTCATTGTGTTATTGTGCTATGGTAAATTTGTGTATTTTTTTAGTTAATTTTTGCTAATATGCTTGGTCTATATGCCTTTTTGTGCTTCTTTTTTACATATTTGTTTGTTTTTATAGTGATTACGATTATAAGACAATGTTGACTGCTGTATCTCTACTTTTGACATTTTTACCTATCATAGATATAAGAAGATGTGATATGAGTGCCAATGAGACAACTCTCCATCTAAGTCAAAATTAGTAAAAGTAAACCATTATAGGTCACAGTACGGCCTTCAACACGTAGAGAAACCAACGGTCTCATCTATATAAAAAACGAGAAACGAGAAACACTTATGAACCACATCAACAAACGACTACCACTGAACATCAGATTCCTGACTTAGGACAGGTGCAACAAATGCAACGGGTTTAAACGTTTTAATGATACCAAACCTTCATCCTTTTTCTGAAACAATAGTGTAACATCACAACATAGAAAGACACATTATAAAATATCAACTGAAATAGCTTAACTCAATCAAAGGACATATTAACACCAATGAACATACACTGAACAAATAAATTTGACCTATGATACAATGTAAAAACAAAATAAATAAACTAAGGAAAGAATAAGAAAAGTAACAAATTATATCGGTATGAAATGTTAAACAATTAAAGAAAAACAAATCTGTCTGTTTGTTTTCTTTCAAATATCGTTGTCAATATAATGGAATTTGATACGACTTTTATACAAGCTTTAACACCAGGTTTAATCCACCATTTTCTACATAAGAAAATTCCTGAACCAAGTCAGGAATATGACTGTTGTAATCCATTCGTTTGATGTATTTTAGCTTTTGATTTTGCCATGTGATTAGGGACTTTCCTTTTTGAATTTTCATCGGAGTTCCGTATTTTTGTGATTTTACTTTTTCCTTAGTAACCATGGTAACAGTAATGAGGTCCCATGAAGATTTCAGTTTTAAAAATGACCAGCGCATTCAATTCTGCTGTATGCTTTTGATGTCCATTACGATGAAAAATAATTAAATCAAAAACCAATTGTTCAGAGAACAATTGAAGGTCTTTCCACAGCAATTTAAAAATTTATTGGAAAGAAGCTAGTTCATGTTTACTTAAAGTTATAATTGGCATCTTATCATCAGTTTCTCCATACTGATGCGATAAATGTGGTTTCTATATACTTCTGAGTGAAATAAGGGAGATAATTAGCTACTTACGGTGAAGTAAATGTCACTTCCGGTCTCATATAATTGTTTCTTTCACACTGATTCCAAAAAAATATAGTGTATATATACTTTTGCTTGTAAACCAGGAGATAATTGGCCACTTCCGGTTTATCGAAAGTCATTTCTAGTCTAGTTAATGTATTAAAATTTCAAAATATATGGATTCCGAGTACTTTTCCATGAAGAAAGTGCAAAAATGGCTACTTCCGGTTTTCTCAAAATCACTTCCGGTTGTCATTCTTCAAGGTCATATGTCATCCAACGTTTTGTAAATGGTCATATGGCTTTATAATGAACTAAGTTGAAGTAATAATCAATTAACCTTATAATTGAACATTTCAGGGGCACTTACTCCTAAAAGATGTCATTACATTGTTTCAGACCAAATGTAACATATCTTCATTACAATAACGCAAACATTTTGCACTTGTTGTTTCATATATACCTTTAAAAGTGTTTGAGAAAATGTAAAAACAAGGAAAAGTCAAAATTGAGAACCTAACCTTGACCTTTGACCTTGACCTCATTTTCTAAGTTAGGACCTAGGGACCTCAAATAAAATGATTCTAGGGTTATACGGTTAACGATTTGTGAGTTAGAAAAACATACCGACAAATTTATTTGGTAAAGGTAGATAACTCCTTTAAAATTTCATCGAATTGCTTCGAACCAAATTAGCCAAATATTCCTGACGATGCAACAAACAATTTAGAAAAGGAATATTGTCGATATCTTTTTTTGTTACGAAGGAGATGCACACACTTAATAAACAGTGAATAGGGAGATAGCTCTTACAAAGAAAATTGTTCGGCTTAGAATGGGTGGAAATAAAAAGCGCATAAACTGTATGATACTATATAAGAAATATCTTAGCGACATATTGCGAAACAAAACTTTTACGCGATTACAAAATTTGGCGGAAAAAAAAAAATAATAATCAGAACAAATACAATAGGTCTTTCCACAGAAAAGTCGAAAGACCTAATTATCAAAACTTTAAGCCATTATCTCTATTCATATTCTCGTCTCTCGTTCTTTATATAGATTATACCGTTGGTTTTCCCGTTTCAATGGTTTTACACTAGTCATTTGTGGGGCCTTTTATAGCTTGCTGGTCGGTGTGAGTCAAGGCTCCGTGTTGAAGACCGTAATTTGACCTATAATGGTTTACTTTTACAAATCATGACTTGGATGGAGAGTTGTTGTTTCATATCAAGAACTATGCGGAAAAATATATCTCAACACTTTTTCTGAGTGTTATAATTTTGTGATCAGATTTCAATAACTATAGAAAATGCATAACAGCTCTGTATCTTAGTCGTGATGTTGTACCCAATGCAGCGGTGAATACCCTCTAAGATATAAGATTTGCATATTTCAAAAAATATTGTTTGTCTCAGCCGTGAACTGTTTTCCTGTTGTAAATGTATTTTATATTCAGCATATGTTTAACAATTGCAAAAATTTCTTTACGCCCTAGTTTTTTCATCCGCTACCGTGAAAAATGTACGTAGTCCCTCGTCTTAAGTTATCTGTTGATTAATATCATTAATTTTAGATATACTAAATCTTGTTAATTGTATAAGTAACGTAAACCTTAGGTGACTTGTTTTGAACATGACATTGAAGTCAAATTACCATTCTAAACCGGAAGGAGATTTTTATGTAAACAACTTGATATTGACCTTTCAAATATGGCAACATTTATTTTTGTATTTACTGTCCACCTTTTTTGCTTACATTTGGTGTTTAGAAATTGATCCTGTGGTACCTACAATTTTTTTTTTTCAAACAACGTTTCATGGCAATAAATGACAGGAAAAAATGGGACTCTTTAAACTAATAGTGATATCATTTTAAAAGTTACTGCATATCATACAATCCATCACATTTTCATCGTAGCCATATAGACATTCTGACTCGATTACTACTTTTTTCCTTTTGAAATCCTAAGATAGGAAACTCATAACAAAGAGGCGAGAGTACCAAAGGAACAGTGGAAGACAAGCTGCCAGCTCCGTGGCAGAAAGAAGTCGGTATAAAAAGTCTACATAATTCAATATAGACAATTTTAAACCCAATTAAAACACAAGATATATCTCAAGTGTTTTCAGAAGAGAAAAACATATCCTGCTCTACATGAGGTTCCCGTCGTGTTATTCTTGTCAGTACAAATTCAGTTACATGTCTTATTCAGTGATGTCACATTCGAATATTAGTACTTTAGTTTGATACATCTGCTGGTGGTCGGTTAGTCTCGCAATTATCATTAGCCTATTAGCTAGCATTTCGGTATTTACCTGAAATTCGAATATTGTATCAATTAAGGGATGTATCACCCTCTGGCATTTAGTTTTATTTTTGTTCCCTTTTGGTTTTGGCAGCTCTTTGACGTGTGTACAAGGTTCTGAATTTTCAATTATGTTGACCGCTAGCATCTCTTAAGAGACAGGTATTGTCGAAATGCACATCTGCTGCACTAAAACAAGCCGCGTAAATATTATTTTAAATGCACCTTTAATAGCAGACTTTTCCTTCACTGTTATGCATAACAGTTTATGGCCAGACTCAGTAAAGAACAGTCTGAATTCCATTCAATTGAAAAATTCAACAACACTTAACGTTATCTTGATGATATTTCTTCGTTAAGTAATCAAGAAAAATTCTCTAGCTATACTGCTGAAATTTACCCAAAGGAACTTACATCGACTAAATCTAACATCTGTCCTTTCTAGATTTAGATATTTCAGTATAACACCAGAAACTCAACACAGATATTTACAACAAAAAGGATGATTTGTCTTTCCCTATTGGTAAATTTTTTTTTTTCGAGATGTGATGTTTCTTTGGCACCGTCTTACAGTGTTTATTTATCCCAACTGGTTCGCTATGCTCGTGTCTGTAGTGACGTTTTGGATTTTAATGAGTTTAATCTATGAATTACTAGTAAATTATTAAGTCTGGGATTTCGTTACCACAAATTACTTAACACCTTTACTAAATTTGTTATAGCTACACAGATTTGGTCTTCAAGTTTGACTCTACTTATTTCAAATGGAATAGCACGTCATAAATTTTAGGGTGATGTAGTAAACCTTAAAACTTATTCTAAATTGTTACCTTTTAATCGTTTGATATTGTTTTTATTGGTATAAATATTGATGTTGTTATCAGTAAATTAAAACCATACTAAACATTACACATATGTACTTTCACGGTACTGCAATCTGTCGATACGTATAGTTGGAGCGGGAGGTTTGGCTAGCCGTACAACCAGGTTCAACCCACCATTTTTTCTTCAAATGTCCTGTACCAAGTCAGGAATATGGCAGTTGTTATCAAATAGTTCGTTTCTATGTATGCTGGCGTTTGTTTTTGTTGCACTTCAGTTTTCCTCTTATAGTTGATGTGTTTCCCTCGGTTTTAGTTTGTAACTCGAATTTGTTTTCTCTCAACCGATGTATTACTTTTGAACACCGGAACACTACTGTTACTTTTATTTGGCATTAGACAAAGTCATGGTTTTCTCTGATTGTTAATGACATCTTTACACTAAATCCATTGGATGTTGGAAGTGAACTGATTGATATTTTAGTCTAAGATACTTGATTGTTTTACTTTTTAATTGACTTTGAATAACATTCGAGTAATCTCAGATCTGCACGTAGTGTCTTTTAGCTTTTGAAATTTATAAGTTCACGTGCACGCCCACTCTCTGTTCTTGTTAGATGTATTTCTACTTGTATCCATCTAATGAGTTAAGCCTATTCTAACAGATTTGTATGTATTGTTCTTATGTTGCATTGTTACACCAATGTACCAGGTTAGGGGAGGGCTGAGTGCTCACAAACATGTTTAATCCCGCCACATTCTGTATGTGCCTGTCCCAAGTCAGGAGCCTGTAGTTCAGTGGTTGTCGTTGGTTCATGCCTGTCATATTTGTTTTTAGTAAATTGGTTTGTTATAATTAGGCCGTTAGTTTTCTCAATTGAATTGTTTCTTATTTTTCATGTCGGTGTCTTTCATAGCAGACCATACGGTATGGGTTTTTCTCATAGTTGAAGGCCGCACGGTTGCCTATAATTATCTACATCCACTTCATTTGAATTTTGGTGGATAGTTGTCTCATTGGCAATCATACCACATCTCCTTATTTTTTTTTCATTTAGATAAAGAGCAGACCTAACTGGATGTGTTGTAGACTCTAACCCACAGTCAATACGACAGATGCATCGTTCAACATTGTTTCATATGAATATTACACTTTATCAGTTTGGTGTGAAACTATTTTTAAGTCAGTGACAGCATATGGGCTGTATAACAGTATGATATGTCAAAAGTTAATGTCATCTTCCTTCTTTTTGAGCAGCTTCTCTATGAAGACTGTCGTATTATAATAAAAACAAATATTATCCATAAGGTGGTGGCACAGTTGGTTTCCATATATGAAGATTGAAAATAAATTAAGAATTGAAAATAATATTCAGATATATTGTCAATCAAACAGTCAAACATCTTCAAGATGTTAGTTTAGTAGAAGTTTGTCTTTGAATCACGGTGATTTAAAATAAAATATGGTATTGTTTCCTTTACAATAACACCAAAAATTTTGATATGCATTGGTCGTTGTTTTTATGAAAGAAAAAAAACTGCCTCTGTTAAGCTGTTGCGGGAAAAGAAATAAGTGTCTTATACTATATAAGATTAAGAGATCAAATATTGTTCAACTATTGCACAAGGCAATGCACATGAATTGTATTCTAAAAGACAATTTTGAGTATCCACGTTTTATACATTTTGTTCACATTACCCACGTGGAGGTAGTCACTGTTTATCTAAAATTCGGTTTCCATTGCTCAAAAAATCTAATCTGATACTTTGAAAAGAAGTTTCAAAATAAAATTAATTTAGTGTAAATGTAGTACGCCAAGCACCTTTGTACAATAAGTGACTAAATTTTATGTTGCATATTGTTTCTAACAAAGCACAAAAATCAATATACTAATGTTGAAAAGTCATCCAACTTAACAAAGATGCCAGGCTTTTAGTTGTATACGTGAAACGAACGTTTAGGGTCTACATGAGACTCACAGATGATGCGCAAGTTAAAAATTGGAAACGTTAAATAAAATATGAATTGTAGAGCTTAAAGTACTAAAAAATTGTGTAAAAAACGGCTAATTGAATCTATACCTGTGGTTTCTGTACACATAATGAAAATTCATCAAAGTTCTAAGACTTATGGTTGATCACGCCTGTCGCATGTTTTGCCTAAAGAGATAAGCTTAAAAAAATACAGCTAAAAACCAAACTCAATGTCAAAGGTGAAGAGCATCCAACACATAACAGTATAAAACAATTATTAATTGTTACTAGAAAATCTGTGTAGCTAAATAGAAATATCAGTGAAATACTATTTAATTGTAGGGCACAATAACGCAGACTAAATTAAAAAAAAATATCATGTGAAGAAGTTAATTAAACAAAGTATCAGCGCAAATAATAAAATACACATCACACGATTGTGAATTTGATTTCAAAAGATTTTTAACGATGAGATCATTCTAGTGTAGAAGACGTCTTACATTCATATCAACTGAATGAGTGTTCATTCTAAAAATACAAAAAATATATATGAAAATTGTTTGCAAAACAAATCGTTGTTTGAAAAGATTAAATGTGTAATAGAAAAGGGAGAATAACAAAAGAACATCGAAGAAATAAAGGACACTTACAAACAAGTAAAAAAAACAAAAAAATAATTGTACAGACAACACGTCTAACAAAGGAAAACGAGGAAGCTGTACAGACAAAAAGACAAATTAAGGACACGGGAAACTGTAACTGCAACTGTTACTGTCAAACTGAGGAAACGAGAAGCCGTACAAACAACTAAATCAAACGAATTAAATAAGGAAGCTGTGCCGACAACAAGTCAAACAAATGCGACAACAAAGTTGCACAGATAATAAGTTAATTCAAAGACATGATGCATCCGATGGGACATGGAGATAAACAAACATACGAACGGTAAATTGCTTTAACCAAAGCAACTTTAGACTTTTTTGTTTCGCATAATAAATCATTCATCTAAGTCTCCGGTAGAAAAGACAAATTTCAAGAAGCTGTCAAATCTTGAAATAAACCAGACACGATATTGATTGATACATAAAAAAATAAAAATGTATGCAATGAATGTTGAAAGTGTGTTAGCTTTATGTTTTGATAATTACTTACCGATTTCTACAAGGAATTTTATTCTCTTCGGTATTGAATTTTCTAAATTCAAGTGTATTTAAAAAATAAAGTTAGCTTCCTTATAATACTGTTTAATGTGTAATGTCTATACAGAAATATCACTTTATTACAAACAATGATACACTTCAGTTAATCTTAAACAAATCACCTTTTGAATCATGTGAAATATAATATTCGTGATATTCAAATATAATGATATTACGTAAATTCATTTAAACTCTACCACACTACATCTAGTGTTATATGATATTTTACTATTCAAAACAATTCAATATTGAGGTTTGCCGAGGGATGCAAATATTAATAACTTCATCGTTGTTCACAAGATTTGGTTGTAGCAAATGTTACACTGAATATTTATATATAAAATGTATGAACATTATATCTTTTCTCTTTAAGGATTTCCAAAACGAAGTAATTTATTTTTGATACATCATCAGATATGGTCATCTTTCACATGATGTCATAATATCAAATTCAGAAAAAAGCATGACAATATGACATCATCATTGAACTTTTGACCAATGTTGGACTGAGTTAATTATGCAACATACATGTATCATTCAACCGTCCGGGATAATTACAATTTGGTTTTAACGTTAAGAATATCATGTGACATAGTAAACTTTAGGAAGCCGCTTACACAAGTACTGATAAAACTTGGTTTCTTAGTCACAGAATCTTAACACATTTAGCAAAAACAATACCTATCAAAGAACCGCGTTTCATAAAAGATACAAGTATGTCCTCCTTCAATGGCCAATGAAGCAATGGTGACTGTCTACTACAATTACAGTGAAAGACATCAGCATTATTATGCAATAATAGTTTCACTGTATTTGTAAGTCCTCTTTCACTGACCATATGCAATGGTGACTCTCCACTACTATTAAAGTGACAGACACCAGAATAATATTGCAGTAACAGTTTCACTGTATGTCCTCCTTTACTGGCCATATACAGTGGAGACTCTCCCTATCTAGTAAAATGTCGTTGAAATCCAAGCATAACAATTTTTGTCTCGATCGTTTGTTTTCTAAATATTAAAAACGACAGCTTTGACATATTTGTGGGATTTTTTTTCTTATTTCTGTCAGCTAGAATCAATTAGTAAAATCTTATTTTATCTTTAAATCAATTGTCATTAATATCCTAGCATACAAAAATGAGTCTCAAAGGATATGTTACGCTTTCTGCATAAGAAAATACCTGTACCAAGTAAGGAATATAACAGTTGTTTTCCATTCGTTCGATGTGTATGAGCTTTTGATTTTGCCATTCGATAAGGACTTTCCGTTTTTAATTTTCCATGGAATTTCTCTTTTTTTATTGTTTTAATTTTTGTTGTGTCAAAATATTTGTCCTTCCATACAGTATTTAAAACTCTAATTGCTTTTATATCAAATATAATGCGTATTTGATATCCTAGGACGGAGGATTGTGTTGTACTTGAATATTTTAAGCCTTGTAATAACTATGTATTAAACATAATGAAAATTAGGAAATGCACAATCTAATTAAAATTAAATCTCCGCACTTGCTCCTCGTTGTTTATATGTCGCGCGTGGGAGATCCAAAAACAGCCGCTTGAGGGTCATGTCTAGGGTCAAATTTGCTGTAGCCAATCAGCGAAGGTGCTACAAAGTGTTAGGGTATTGGACTGGCATAGGAGTCTTAGTAGCGTCTAGAGGTCTTCCGAATGTATATAAACAAAAATGGCAGCCCCCATGCGAAAAACGTTTCGTAACATACAACTGTAATAATAGTTTGTATTATTGCCTTCCGAGGTTAAAATGGCATCAAGTGAAGTATGCACCCCAAGGAAAATATCAGTATGAACAAACATTTGTGTTTTATGCGGTTTTTCTTTCATCCAGATAGAAATCTCCTCAACGGGAGAACGTGTTGAAAAAAAAAACTGTCCAAACTGAAGCTTCAGCAGAACTCAGAGAGAATCGCAATAACTCCTAGTGTTGTTACTGGTTTTGAAGTAAACGCCGAAGTAGATAATGACAATGGCGTCTGTATTAAATGTTTTAGAAAAGTCCAACAGTCAATTAAATTAAAGAAAGATGCATTAAAAATTCAAGAAGAACTAAGTGACTAACTTCGGGTGTCTTACCACCTGACCAATCAGAAAGATTAATTGCTTATAGATTTGTTAATCTGCAAGGTGGAACAAACAATAATATAAGCTTAGATGAATACTTGAGAGATGTTGAACAAGGATACAAAAGTAACATGTTCAGGACATCAGACAAAGGAAAGTATCCTTCAACATTCTAAAGAGTATCCTCACCTAGTTAATTTTGCAAGCCATTTTGATAACATTACCAATTTAACAGGAAAGAAGGGGTTCCAACATATACGGTCATACCAAGCTGATGTTCAGAAAATTGCAAAAGACCTACTACAAGAAAATGTACTACATGTAACATATAAAACTTCAAGAATAATAACAATTAAGTGCAAGGAGCTAAAAAAAAGACAAAAACCCATTTGACAGTGCATTTATAGGACTTCGTACATTGATTCATCGCCGTGACATCAACCAACAGTCCCCTTCCATCGCCTTCAAATCCACATATTTGAAAAATATTGCTTGGAATTAAATTATTGTGAATAAAGTGTGCAGGTTTAAAATCTCTTAAGTCATAACCTTAATTAGCTGGTACTTTTTTAGTAGTTTGTTGCTGATATTAAAGTGTCATAAGTCAATGAGACATCAACCCAACAAACAAAGTATTGAAATACTTTTAGTTTAGTTGCAGAATATCATGGTCATTTTGATTAGGCAGCATAACTACCTACAAAAACATGTTTATAAGAATGTGGCATGATTTCTAATTAGACAACTATTCAAAAGGGACCAACTTATTTTTCTGTATTAAATTTCACAGTTCCACCTCTGACTTTGAGTAAAACCTATAGCAAGCTGTACAAAGACCCGAAATGACTTTATGAAAACATCAAGCACGTGTGTACAAAACAACAATGAGATAAAAACCAAACTTTTACAGATTTGTTCACAAGGCGACCAGCATGCAGATATTTACCCTATATGTACATGTAAAGAGCTGTTGATAAAACTTATACAAGGTGATGTTGGTTAAATGTGCTTTCCTGAGTGATGAAGTTATTAGTGCACATTATTTGGTTCAATTTCTATCTTAGTCAAATTAAACACAGTAACTTAATATAATAAAATGCTCTGCTGGGCCCAGCTTGATACGACTGCAGAGGTCGAACCCTGAACAGTTGGGGCAAGTATGGACACAACAGTCAAGCTTGATACAGCACTGAATTTTGATTGTGATTAAATATATGACACAGCATAGGTTTCTGACACAGAATAAATGTGGTCTAAGAACTTATAAATTTTTAATTTACCTATTCAAACACAAGTTATTGACTGGAAACTAGAAAAATGTTTGTCTTTTGGCCACTTTTTGGTTCAAAATTCCTAAACATTTAGGGAAATTATCCCCAAACTCAAACCTAGCTCTCCCTTTGTGATATGGAACCTTGTAGTACAATTTCAGAAAGATCCATACACTTACACACAAGTTATTGTCATGAAACTAGAAAAATACTTGTTTTTTGGCCCTTAATTACTTAAATTTTGAGGCAATTACCCCCAAAATCAATCCCAGCCTTCCCTTTTTGATATGGAACCTTGTGGTACAATGTCAGAGAGATCCATACACTAACACACAAGTAATGTCTCGAAGTTACAAAAATGCTTATTTTTGGCCCCTAATTCCTGAACTGTTGGTACCATAACCCCCAAAATTAATCCCCACTTTACTTTTGTGGTATTGAACCTTATGGTAAAATTTCATGGAGATCCATTTACTTAAACTAAAGTTAGAGTGCGAAAACCAATGTGTCTTCGGACGACGACGCCAACGTCATACCAATATACGACCGCAAAATTATTTTGTGGTCGTATAAAAAAGAAGATGTGGTATTAAGTCTATATTTGACTGTTTTCTTGATGAACACATTGGTCTTGAACAAAGTTGTAAGTAAGATATAGTCCCACTTCATGTTATTGTCTTGAATATGCATGAAATATTTGCCACTGAAACCCAAGTGAAGAAATCAATAATCAATCAACCTATCAATGTTCATTTTGAGCAAAAATAATCATCCTCTATGTATACTGTTGGTTACACCAAGTTAAATACAATGAGTTTGCTATATAGAACAAATATAACATCATCAAGAACAATGAACAAAAAGGTCAAAGTCATACATGTCATATGAACCATGCCAAAACTTAGCACAAAAGGACATACATCAATAACAATAATTCTATACACCAAAGATAGTTGACTTGTTGATCAATAAACCATGAACAGTCAAGGTCAGAAACCAACCAGAGTGATTTTTATAGTTCGTTCCTGTGTTGTAATGTTACACCACTGTCCTAGGTTAGGATCCTGCTAACATGTTTAATCCCGCCACATTCTGTATGTATGTGCCTGTCCTAAAATAGGAGCCTTAGGTAATTCAGTGGTTGTCGTTTGTTTATGTGTTACATATTTGTTTTTCGTTCATTTTTTGTACATAAATTAGGCCGTTAGTTTTCTTGTTTGAATTGTTTTACATTTGTCATTTCAGGGCCTTTTATAGCTGACTATGCGGTATCGGCTTTGCTCATTGTTGAAGGCCGTACAGTGACCTATAGTTGTTACTTTCTGTGTCATTTGGTCTCTTGTGGAGAGTTGTCTAATCATGCTCATTGGCTATCATTCCACATCTTCTTTTTTATATAACATGTACATCTTACAATAATTCCACACCAAATATATTTTTCTGTTTGTTTATCATGTTTATAGTAATCGAGATGCAGACTTGACCCCGAATATATGCTTGTTTCATGAAATGAGGTCAAGATTAGGCGAATCTGCAACCATATCTGACAGACATGGCAGACATGGTTTTCTCTTTTGAATTTTTTCATATTTTTCTGGTCGGGGCCTTTTGTAGCCGACTAAAGGCATGGGTTTTTCTCGTTGTACTACAATTGCTTATATCAAGTTATTGAAAAGTCTGGAGGGTAGTTGTCTGATTGGCAATCATACCGCATCTCT